CTGACACTGCTGCAAATATTCTAACTAGCAATGGCAGTGAAAATGTGATCATTTAAAAATGTGTCGCAGCACAGTGATAGCATTCTGACCACGGGGGCAGAAGGTCCAGGTATGTGCGTGTGTACAAAGACGCATCTACTTTCACAGCAGTGGGTAGGATTATCTCCGTGGTAATTGCTACATCAACGTAATTCTAATGGAGACAATATTAATACCCTAACAATCACCCATGTGACATACACAGAAAAGGCAAGTGACCTGAGACATGACCAGATAGGTCCATAATGATCGAAAAACTTCGGTCCCAGATCAAGGCAAAGTCAATGCCAGATGCCTGAAGTGCAAGTGTATGTCTTTATTCACTTTGTTTGCACTACACTTCCTCCTGCAAAAGCATCAGTTCCTTTGGAAAGCCCATGAGAATGGCAATGCTGAGTACTACGGTTGCTAAAAAGAAAGAAGCTGTCATCAACAAAAGTGCTGAGCTAAATCTTAAAATACAGCAGAAAAAAGATATTTCCCAAAAGATACTATCAGAATGAATGACCCAAGAAAATTACAACATTATGTAATTTGTCACTCTTGTCTTTTAAGAATCGAAGTGCAAAGAAACAGCAAGAAGCTTAGAACATTGATCTTGAATGGTAAACCAGTGCAGAGTGCGCAGAGCAAAAGTAACATTTGGGATTGCTCAGATGATCAATTTACATACCTTCTCTTTCAGCCCTATTTTCCTGCCTTCTCCCTGTGGCCATTGATTCCCTTACTCATCAAGAATCCATCTCCGTCTTAAAGACACTCAATTATTTGGCTTCGACCTCCGTCTGCGGCAATGAGCTCCACAGATTTACCACCCTCTGGCTGAAGAAATTCCTCCTCATCTCAGTTCTAAAGGGTTGTCCCTTCATTCTGAGGCTGTGCCCTCAGGTCCTAGTCTCTCCTACTACTGGAAATATCTTCTCTACTCTACCATATCTAGGACTCCCAGTATTCTGCAAGCTTCAATGAGATCGTCCCTCATCTTTCTAAACTCCATTGAGAACAGACACACAGTCCTCAACCGCTCCTCGTATACCAATCCCTTTGGCCCAGGATCATTCCTGTAAATCTCCTCTGGACTCTCTCCAATGCCAGAACATCTTTCCTTAGATACATGGCCTAAAACTGCTCACAACATTCCAAATACGGTCTGACCAGACCTTGTACAGCCTTGGCAGTGCATCCCTGCATTTGCCTTCCTAACTGCCAGCTGAGCCTGCATCTTAACTTTAAGAGAATCCTGAACTAGGACTCCCAAGTACGCTTCAGATGTCCAAGGCCTTTCTCCATTTAGAAAATAATCTACATCTCTATTCTTCCTACCAAAGTGCATAACCTCACCACTTCCCTACCTTCTATTCCATCTGCCACTTCTTTGCTCACTCTCCTAGCTTGTCCAAATCCTCTGCAATCTCTCTGCTTCCTCATCACTACCTGTCCCCCCCTCTAATCTTTGTTTCAGCTGCAAACTTAGCAACAATGCCCTCAGTTCTTTCATCCAGATCATTAACATACAACATGTCTAGTTGTGGTTCCAACACAGATCCCTGAAAACTGCACTAGTCACCGATTGCCATCCTGTAAAAGACCCCTTTGTCCCTACTCTCTGCCTTCTGCAAGTCAGCCAATCCTCTATCTGTGCCAACACCTTGCCCCAAACACCATATGCACTTATTTAGCAGTCTCCCATCTGGGCACCTTGTCAAAAGCCTTTTGAAAATCTAAATAAATCATGTCCTTTGGCTCTCCTTTGTCTAACCTGCTCATTATCTCCCCCAAGAATTCTAAAAGATTTGTCAGGCATGACCTCCCCTTGAAGAAACCATGCTGATTCAGCCCTATTTTACCATTGCACTTTCAAGTATGCTGCAATTTCATCCTTAAAAATGTACTCTAAAATCTTGCTAACGTCCGAGGTCAGGCTAACCAGCTTATAGTTTTCTGCCTTCTGCTTCCCTCCCTTCTTAAATGGAGGTGCTATATTAGCCACTTCCCAGTCCTCTGGGATGCTTCCTGACTCCAATGATTCCCAAAAGATCGCTGCCCATGCCTCTGCAATCTCCTTCAGAACTCTGGGGTGTAGCCCATTTGGTCCCAGTCAGGTCCTATTGTTACAAAAATACAATGCACCTTCATAATTCCCTTTATAAATTCAATACCAGGATAAATAGCAAATAAGACAACTTAAAACCACAAGGCTAACATCTAAACTGAATTCAACCTGATACAACAATAGCACTTCAACTTTACACGTTTGCAACTGTGACAGTTTGTGTGCAACTGGGATCAGATCCCTCAACTGTTCCATTAGTGCAACTATAAGTTATTTTAGTCATGAACATTTTGAAGAATCAACCAATTCAAAATGGGAAAACATTGAAACTAAGCCATACAATTCTTACAAAGCATGCAAAAAAGCCACTGATGATCAAATTTTACTTATTGAAGAAACAATCTACTTATACAGTGGGAAGGTTATTTTAATTGAATACATCAATTTAGGAATTTAAAAAATCCAAAAATCTATTAATTTTTATCTACTTGAATATCCTATCAACATTTTTATATGAATACCTGCAACCACATTTGTAATGCAAACATCCTCTATAAACATATCCATCAGTGATTGAGTTGCATCAGTACCAATGGTAAAAGGAAGTAATTATAGCATAATATTCGTACCAGTCTCTGTAATCATGTTACTGTAGAGGCATGACAACTTACAATAAAAATCTATGAGACAGAATGCCTGATTTAAAAGTGGGGACAGAGTTGCATCTGCATGACCTGATCCAATTAGTCCATGCAATCTTGTTTACTCTGAAACTTTACTTGGTCCCAAACCCCTCATCTCCAGTACTACAAAGCAAAAAACAGTCCTTTATGTGGTTTCCACTCTTGACCTTACTGCCGAACTGTATAATTCATAACAACAGGAGTCACATGTCAGTTAGTGGGTGACCCATCTTTTCGCCATCAACAAATGATTTGATTTATTTATTGTCACATGTACTTTTTTGCAAAATCCACAGTGAAAAGTGCTGTATAGTGTCGCCATCTTAAAACACAGATAAAGAAACCAAAACATAGAATATAAAGGCAGAAAATTGTTAGACATAAAGAAAAAGTGTTCAGCTTTACAGTCTTTCCTGCTAAGTGCCCTGTCATGGGCCATGGGACTGGTGCCAGGCTTCAGTCCCCTTCACTGTGTTGCCACTGAAATAAAAGTCTTTGGCACCATCTCACCTCTACCAACGCACTTGCCACTATGAACCCTTGATGGACATCGCCAATGCAGATGCCATCGATGCCATCAGGTACCACGCTGGCCCAAACACAACTCCACTGCTGCCATGAGTCCGCTTCAGGCCCGCTTCACTGATGCAGCCACCGCTGATGCCGCCGGGTCTCATACCAGGCCCAAATTCATCTCTGCCACCGTGAATCTGCGCCAGGCACAGACGCTGCCAGGTACCCAAGCTCTGATGCCACTGTCATGAGTCTGCATTGCTGGGCCTACTCATCACCACAACTGAGCTCTTCACCAAGGGGCAAGTTAAAATAAAAGAGAAAAAAAGAAAAGAAACGAAAAGTAAAGTGGATGGAGTGGATGACTCATGGGCTAAGATGCCCTACTCCACCACCATCTTATTGGAAGGGATGGAACTTGGTCATCAACTCAAATAATTGGCAGACCCTTAGTTGAACCAAAGCAATTAAAGTAATCAAAAATGTCTTTTATTTAATAGAATGTTCAAAAAACTGATAATGACCATGAAACACAAAGAAATCCACTTTAATGCTGCTATTTACAAACAACTGAGTGCCGATGTCTGGTCAACTCTTTGGACAGCCATGTTGCTTTACAGGCAATTTTTGGTTAATATTAAATTTCTTACATAACGTGTGTAATAAAAATAACAGCAATTAATTAAATGCATACAAAAGGCCTTGTTTTTTATCTTAGAGACTACAAATAATAACTTTTTACCAGACATATCTACTCAATCTGGAGTTCAAGTAAGTTTCCATCGATTGCCTTAGAGTATGCTCCAACGTGCACACATTAGCAGGTTTGATTTTCGTTTTTTTTTAAAATGGCATGGACAATTCCAGAATCCCACTGCTGCAAAAATAAATAAACTCAAGAAGTTGCATCTGAATATTTATTTCAGCAGCAATAAAGTTAGGACTTAGCATTGAAAAACAAAGGTGTGATGTCAGAGATTTTACAATTAAATTGATAATTTGATACCAAAAGATTAAAACCTGCAGCAAAATTAATTGTAAATGGTTGCCTGCACATGAACACAATTCTTCTTCTCTATTGCGATTGAAGACAGTTAAAGCTAGCTGCAAATGATGTTCTCACTGTTTCCAAAATGATATCCCAGTAATCGCTTTTAGGCAACATCTTCTGTACAATTATTAAATAGACAATAAATCATGGCAGTAGACTCTGCGTGTTAATGAATGACTTTAAAGACAGAAGACAGAATGCAGGTCTACTGAAGGTGCAAAAATACTTTAATCAGACCCTTTTTATCTATTCTTTTGGGAGGGAGCCGAACAGACTTTGAGATTTAAATTTCAAAAGGCTGTTTTTCCCAATAAGTAAGAGATCCGATACCGTACAGTTATCTTTACAAGAGCACATAGAAAGCAATTACATCTACAGATTAATTTCAACACAGGGCAAGAAAGAAATGACAAACATCGCTCAATTATAATTCTGTGCTCAACCATATTATGAATCTAAACATTTCCATTTAGGCCTGTTTAATTAGACATCGTCTACACACGGGCATTGTTTTACAATATTTCAGCAAAGCAGAGCAAAGAATCAAACTTTCCAATGCGCGTAACAAGTTGTAATTATGTAAAAATTGCGTATCTTTCTATGCATCCAAGACAGCTAGCACTCCAACACCTGGTAAAAGAAAATCACCAACTGGACCTACCTGTCATCTGCCTGCCAACCTTGATCTCCAAGGAGCAAATCACGAAATCTGTACCTTGGAGGAAGAGGAGGCACTTCGTTTTCCAGGTCCACCATTCTTTCCAGCTATGTAGTGTACCTATGTCAGATGAATATATATATATATATAATACGTATATACATGCACAAATTTCCCACAATCTGTTATCTCAAGGGATCACCTTGTAAAAAAAAGTATACACACACCAAACACACACGTACACAAAGGGTTCACTTTAGTTGTCAGTGGAAGGCTTACACGCACAACTCTGCGAGATGCTGCTCGCTCCTACTCGTCACGTTAAGAGGGAAAGTGCTGAGCGCGCGGCAGCAGCCAGCAACCCCGGGCACTGTGAGATAGAACGTTGCCCGGAGCTCGTGTCTCCCCACGGGGACAGTCAGGAATAGACAGCTGCCCGGAGCTCGTGCATCCCACGGGGACAGGCAGGGATAGAACCTTGCCCGGAGCTCGTGTCTCCCCCCCGGGGATAGTCAGGGATAGAACGCAGCCCGGAGCTCGTGTCTCCCCCGGAGGCAGTCAGGGATAGAACGCAG